ATTGATTAGATCACTGGCCACTGGGGATTGCACTCAACCTCCAGCTCCTCTCTCCTCCCTGGGCCTGAACCAGTTGCTATGAACAATAAAATACACCTTTATGGCTCTTATCATTTAGGAAATTCCAAGGGTTTTAGGAGCTCTGTGCCATGAACCGGGACCAAGACCAAATTTGTATTTCTTATTATAATCACAATATCAGAGAGGGAAAATCATCTGTGGAGAATGAGTAAAGGATGAGATTAGGTTTGGGGAAGAGTGGCGATGATAAGGAAGATCTCTTGCAGAACACCCCTAAGAAACTGTGATAAATGAGGGAGAAACAAGGACCAAGTTTATTGTGGACGGCATGGGTTGTAATAAATTTTCCCAGCAAAGTCCCTCTCTGTCTCCAAGGCAGCATTTCTTTTCTTTTCTTTTTTTTTTTTTTTTGTGAGGAAGATCAGCCCTGAGCTAACATCTGCCAATTCTCCTCTTTTTGCTGAGGCAGACTGGCTCTGGGCTAACATCCATGCCCATCTTCTTCCACTTTATATGGGACGCCACCACAGCATGGCCTGACAAGTGGTGCATGGGTGCGCGCCCGGGATCCGAACCAGCGAACCCCAGGCCACCGCAGAGGAGCACAAGCACTTAACCGCTTGTGCCACCCGGCTGGCCCCGCAGCATTTATTTTCATAGCTACATGGCATGAATCCCAGGATCACAGAAAGAATATGAGAATAGAAGTTGAAAGTGGAGTTAGAGTTGGGAGACATAAGTGGAAGTTGGATCTCTTAATGAAATGTTAGAAAAGCTTCTGGGATCTTAGCTTCTCCAGTTGTAAAATGGGGGCAGGGGTGGACCGCGAAATTGAAAGCCCATAAATTCTCTGTTAGTGCCCCTGATTCTAGTCTGAGATCATTATATGCTATAGGATAGTGAAAAAAAAAGGCAGATTCTATGATGGAGGTTGAGAATAAACAGAGACGGATATTCCACTAGTGGAATGATTGTTTCTGGAACTGAAAGGTAAACACACTCATTCAAGGAAGAAAACAAGAAGTAGCAATTTACACCAAGTTATAGCTCTAAGACTTTTGTTTTGCAATCTGCAATTCTTTCTGTACATGTTTGACTGATGGGTTCATGGATACAACCTTTATGTAGAGACCATGTTTTTTATCTCACTGACATACTTTGCCAAACTATTGCGAGCTGAGAACTAACATCCGAATGTACAATGTAATCCTTTACAATTTAGAAGGTGCCTTATCCTGTGGTCATCACATGGCTTTTACAATGTAATCAAGAGAAAAATCAACAAACTCAATCTCACAAACTAAATTAAAAGGGACACATTCACATTTCCTCTTTATATCCATGTCAAAGATAGAGAGACCAGGAGGAATTTAAACACCATGGCTTCATATCTGTCACAGCCATATCTTTCTAGTGGTGGGGAGCTCATTTTTCAAAGCTACCAGTCCATTAACCTTCACAAGAACAGAAATAAAGCAAAACAAAGAAACACTCCCTGGAGAAATGGCATTACTTCTAATCTTGCTTATATATCTTACCATGGGGATTTAACGATGGAACAAAGACCTCTACCTCCCCAGGCACATGAAACGATACAGACACTCTGAAATAAATATATAAAATGCATAGTGGTGCATGCTGTAGATGAATTTGTGATGGTTTTAAAAAATGAGAATGGGGTTAGAGAGAGTAACTGATATCATCCTTGCCAGATCTCTGTCTCACCCTGTGATGTGTAGCAGGGAGGGCCAAAGCATCAACCCTATGTATTTTGTAACGTCCCGGCCCCCTCGCGGTTGCACTTCACGTAGATTCATTTGCTGTGTATATCTGGAACTATTAGTTTCCTGATAAATGCATTGTCAGGAAGCCAGAGGCCAAGGATAAGATAGGAAATAAGGAGCTCTTGCTTGTTTTTATATGTTCCTGTTTGACTTAGGAGATAATTATAACACAGATTGATGCTCCTATTTTAAACAAGGCAGTAAATCAGCGTGAAATATAGGATTTGGGAAAGCCATTTGCCACATAATTATAATTTCTTAAAATTCCTGTGTTCACTGAATATGAGAAGCTATAATCATGTGATACATAGCAATAGCATTACTCATTCTTTTCCTCTCATGGAAGACAGTTAAATAAATCTAAGTTACAAACTTTTAAATATTATTAGTTACAAAGTTTAAATATCATTAACTGAAGCAAAGTAAAAACATTTGCTGGTTGGTCTGGAATCTAGCTTCAATTGGTAAAACTTACAGATTCAGTTAGCAAGATTAAAATAATGATTCATGGGCCAGCCCTGTGGCATAGCGGTTAAGTGCCCACGCTCCGCTGCTGCCGGCCTGGGTTAGGATCCCGGGCGCACACCAACGCACAGCTTGTCAAGCCATGCTGTGGTGGCATCCCATATAAAGTGGAGGAAGATGGGCACAGATGTTAGCCCAGGGCCAGTCTTCCTCAGCAAAAAGAGGAGGATTGCCATGGGTGTTAGCACAGGGCTGATCTTCCTCACACACACAAAAAAAATAATAATAATAATGATTCAGTGCACTTCATTTAAAAGTCATTTTTTTTCCACAAATAAAGTTTATTTATCACCATGAGACAATGTAAAAGTGTAAGTTTTCATCAATATAAGAAACCAGGAGCAAAGTGAGATTTGGGAACAAAAGAAGGATTTGGAATCAGAAAGTGACACATTTGAATATGGACTCCGCCAGCGGTTATATTCAAAATCTCTATCAATGGCATGGCAGGACAGGGACCCCTCAAGAGGGAGGAATTCCAGCACAGGGCTCTAGAGACCCCCTTATGCCAGGAGTTACCTTTTGGTTGCTGGATTATGGGGGAGGATGGGGTAGAGCTGAGATACTGGGTGAAGGGGGCTACTCAGGGTCCTTGAGGAGTTAACTGGTACAGATGCATTTCTATAGTCACCTGCAGGAGCAGTTAGACCTGCTGTGACCAGTGTAGAAGCAGCAATTTAACAACCAGCAGGCATCCGCTTGCATACTTGCCGAATACTGCCTGGATGATGCCTATTAATGGCGCACGAGCAGTCTAACTAGCCTTCCTGAGCCAGCCAAGAGAGAGAAAAGCAAGTTCTGAGTTATTTGGCGAGTTATTTGGCTGCTCTAAGACCTCTTCCAGCACGCGGGAGAGTCTGGTCTTCTCTCCTCTCCCTTTTCCTATGGCTTCCAGTATACATATCCTCAGAGCAAAGGACGAGTCCCATTAGAGTGCAGAGAGACTTCCACAATTTAAGCAAATGCAGATAAGAAGCAGAGTTCACACCAATCCTGACTTCCCGCTCATGGGTGAGCCCACCTGGAGCAGACAGGAGGACCTGTACTTCTAGCAGAAACATCCGCAGGGGGGCGTCCTTCTCTGCCTTTCTCTATTCTTGGCTCCAATGTTTGTTTGTGTACAAATAATACAGTAATGTCTCTGAATTGAACTGTTTGGAATGTATCCCTAATAATGATATCTTGCAGCAACAATTATGCACAATAAATATCTGCCAGCTTAATTTTGCACAAACTTTATTGATTACCAAAGAAAACTGTTTATTACTCATTCATCACAGTTATCAACATCGGAAAAATGGTTGTCTTAACTCAGAGGGTTATCATTGGTATGTCTCTGTTTACTCTATAAAGTATAACTCCTCCATATGTTTGAGAGAATCACAACTAAAATCCTATAAATAATTTTGGACACCATATTTTAAAAAAAGAGAACAACTATAGTGAAATAAAGTACAAGAATTATCAGAGAACTAGAAAACACACAGAATATTTAAAGGGTGATTGAAAGAACAAGATTTACTAACAGCAAAGAAGAGAGAAATGTTGTGTATGTAAGATAAAGAAAGTGAGAAGTTTGGTTTTTTGTTTAATTTTTTCATTCCATATTAAAGAGCCTTAGCTCATAATATGCCAACATAGTATGGATTCACACTGTTCTCCACCAAGACTCCTTTTCACGGGCCGGCCCTGTGGCTTAGCAGTTGAGTGCGCGCACTCCACTGCTGGCGGCCCGGGTTCGGATCCCAGGCGCGCACTGACGCACCACTTCTCCGGCCATGCTGAGGCCGCGTCCCACATACAGCAACTAGAAGGATGTGCAGCTATGACATGCAACTATCTACTGGGGCTTTGGGGGGAAAAAAAATAAATAAATAAAATCTTTAAAAAAAAAAAAAGACTCCTTTTCGCTATGCTTCTCCACAAATTCCGTATTTTGAATTTTCAAATACAAACTACATCTATTAAATAAACTGGGTTTATTTTCTTTTTCTTTTTCTTGCTGAGGAAGATTCGCCCTGAGCTAACATCTGTGCCAATCTTCCTCTTTTTTGTATGTGGGTCACCACCACAGCATGGCTGACGAGTGGTGTAGGTCCGCATCCAAGATCCGAACCTGCGAACCCAGGCCACTGAAGTGGTGCATGCCAAACTCAACCACTACGTCACAGGCCCAGCTCCTATTTTCTTATTTTTAATTAATCAGATAATTATAACTATCTGAGCTATAATACTCAGAGTTTCTGATGAGCATGAAGTAACTGAATGACTATATCAAAAAAACTGATATAATTGTAACTAAGGTAAAGATGCTGATAGTTTTAAATATCCTACACAATCTTGTCCAAGCTAAGTTTCAATGTCAGTTAAGTTCTTTGAAATATCAAAATGTTTCAAGGAGCCCCACAAGTACTATCTCCAGAGACCCAAATATTTAAAGATTCCAAATTGGGAAGCAATGGAATAAACTAGTTTAAAATCATCTAACAAATATGATTTATTCTCACTTGAAGAATTAAGTTGAGTTACTTAATGTACCATAATTGTCTAAAAGAGATAGAAGCGAAAATCCTGGGGCTCCTTCAAATCTTTCTTCCCACCCTTTTCTCCACTCTCTCTGTTCCTTGGCTCTGAGGCGGCAGGAGGAGGCAGTGTCCCGCGGGTACTCACCGGCCTGGTTCGTTGTGATAGTGACGGCCGCAAACTGCCTTGGCGGGGCGCTCAGCTCGGATACCCCGTTAACGGCATCAATCTCAAAGGTGTAGTTAGTGTGCGCCAGGAGGTCTGTCACTGTCACTGTGGTGTTGGCGAGTCCAGACTGCCGAGGCAGGAAGCGGACATGGGGGCCACACGGCTCACACTGTTGTACATTCCACCCGCATTTTTTACAGAGAATGTTGAAGGTGACATCTTTCCGGCCTCCTGTGTCCAGGGGCCAACTCCAGTCCAGGATAACCGAGGTCTCATTTATATTAGAGATAACATTTCTTGGTGCAGATGGAGGTCCTGCAAAGTAGTTCAACAAAGATTAATGAGCCTCACTTCTGTTTTCTCCTACAAGGGAAACAGATAATTTACAATGGAACTGAAAGAGGTAAATAACCATCTTGTCTTGATTATATACTCTTAATTCGTCCTTAGAGGATCTGTGAGATTACAGACACATGGACTCAAGAGCACTGTCCTCCCTAAGCTAGGAATGGGGGAGTTCTGACTCAAGGCTGAAGATGCATTTACCAAGTCCCACAAAGGAACATACCACTAAATTCAATGCCCTTGTGAATAGTTATGAAAACTTTAGTATTAGTTTTATAAATCTTAGTCCTTTTTCCTTATGACCTATGACCAACATATAACAAGAGGGAATAGAAATGTTAAAACACAAATCCCACACCTGTAGCCTTCCGTTATGTCAAATGTAATGCAGATCTGGAACAAGATACAGAAAATTTTCTTTCTTTCTGGGGGTCCTGTTGCAGGAAGTGCCTTAAAAACTAATTCATTTTGTGTGATAAATGTTGCATTTGTGGTGAGCCAGGCATGGAGAGTGAAGCAGAGAAAGTTTTCAATTTGCACATGGATAAGGGAAGGAAATGGGCCAAATGCTAAAAAAAAATCACAATAACAAGAAGAAAAACCAAAATAAAACAAACATGGAGGCATGGGTCGCAGCAAAACTACTCACGGGTACAAGCCATGGATGGAGGGTCTTTGTCTGCTCTGAAGTAATTATTCTCACACCTGCAGTTCACTGAACCATCTTCGTGAGTAGAGCTGTGAGGGGGGCACTTGGCACACTTCATGCTACCATCCGAGGCCTTGTAGAAACCTGGGCGACAAGCTGCAAACAAAACGACTCTTTCAAAATTATGTGATAATTTTGAAAATGCATTTTTGAAAATATGTAAAACACGTTTCAGGATGTTAGGGCATGCATTCATTATGAATAAAAATCCATTTTTCCCTCCCAGAATTTACAGAAGCAAATAGTGTGGCCCAGTGTAGTTTTTCCACATATACATTTGAATTTGCACCAAATGTTAAGGGGAAACTCCCCCAACACACAAGATTTAGATTATTCTGGCACTACAGTATGCTGAGATTTCCAGCTCGGGTTTTCACAGCTTTACTTGGCATTAGACTATTGGTGAGAAAATAAAGCAAAGCCGTGTCATCACGCAGCCATTCCGTGTTTACGCGTGATGCAGTGTGTCCCCTCTCTGCACTACAGCGAGCACCACGTGACACACGCCCTTGTTCTCTCATGGTTTCTGCGTGGACAACTTCATCCCCACAAATTGTTAGCAACTGAAGGAAGAAATCATGGCTTCGTTGACATTTTAAGACTCTTGATACATGGTTCTCATGAGCTGTGATATGTTTTTCTGCCTCGATAGTATCATTCCTTAACTTCTATGGCAATGGCCTAAAAAAAAGATTTAAATATACTTTCTTGTCTATATCTCAAATACATAGGGAGGTACAACTTCTATTTAAACTGATCTGCCTGTGAATTACTACCAGATTAAAGCTTTTTAAATAACTCTATGTTACCTTCTTTCTTTCTTAAAAAAAACTTACATGTTTTTTTAAGTCCAGTGAACTGGTTATCAAATATTGATTTCAGCTGCCCATTGAGTCTTCACTGTCTATTTACTTCTTTTATAGAAATATGCCTCCATTATATTATTTTCATTTAATCTGATATAAGATTCAAAGTGCTGTACTGTTTTATTGGATCTATTTTCATACTTACATTGAGAACTGAAATCATAACGAAAATCCTAAGTTCCTTGACATTACTTTGAGGAAGGAATTCAGAGTCCAAATTTTTTAGGTTTCCTCCAGATCATCTTTAGACGTCAATAATTTCTTAAATCCCTAAAACTCAATTTCAATGCCACGTTGAGATTTGATGGCTTAAAGCACTTACATATAGAATAGGCCCCATAGATTATCTTTATCATTGAATTCCACAATTTTCTTATATCAACTTCATATTGTGAATAACAGGTTATTTGCATTTAAGTAAAATCTGTGTGGACAAATCTTAACTTTTATAATCATTAAATGCATTTCAAAAGATAACACATCATGTCCATAATAGTACATCTTCCTACTGAACGTTTCTGGGGAATTATACTGCTGAGTGAAATACACTGCCAAGACAAACAGAATAATTTAAAATGTTAGCAATCATTAATATAGTCATACTGTTTTCTAGTTCCTACTAAGAATGGCTGTTCTAGGACCATTTTACATTAAATTGAACAACTTTTAGTGTTACATTGAGAGCCACTCAAATAAATTCTACTGCCTTAGCCAAACACGGATTAGGATTATAAACTTTTGAACATTGTCTTTAAGCACTGGTTAGAAACTTCCACTCATATCTCATGTCATATTGCCTCAGGGGGAAATGACATAAAGTATAAACAAACTACACACTTAACTTCTGGTTTCAATTTAGCTCATAGTTGAGTGCCTTTAAATTTGCAAGACAGCATTGCTGAGCCTTTAAAAAATTAAGTTGCAGTCTTCCAACGTACTTTGTTATTTTGTTTGCTTGTAAATTTGTCCGTGTGTTTTTATTTGAGGTATTTACGGTTTTTGCAACAGTTAGCATAAAGGTATTCACTAAACAATCACTTTTTGTTAATATTATAAATGGCTATACCATGTGATACTTAAAGAAAGGACAAGACAATCACATAGTCGCTTCTTAGCCACAGCACTACAGCACAGGACTTCTGACAGTAACTTGAAAGTAGCTACAGTTAATAAACCTAGAAGTTGAGAATGCGACTCAAAATAGTACCCAGACTTTATCAAATTATGACTAAATAATAACCTTAGAGACGATAATAGTAAAAGATATGTAGGCACAAATACATGCAGTGAAATAAATATTTGTCAATCATCTACTCTCGTTCAGGCTCTTTGTTAGCCTTAAAGATACAAATGTTCCCCATTTCTGCCCATTCCAAAAGAGCCTTTGCGGTCGAAAGCGAGCAGCAGACATTTTAACACAGCCACACAGAGCAAGTGCTCCATTCTGACTGAGCTGTTGGAAGAGACTACACAGAAGGAATCCCCTTTGAGCAAGATCATGCAACGATAGTAGGAGCTGGCCTGTAGGAAGCATAATTAAATGCACAAATAGAGCAACATGAAAAGACAAACTGTTAAGTAGAGGAATGTTGTGAGTACTGCTGGTTACATACTTAATATCTAACCCCTGCTTCCTGCTTGCTAATAGAATCCTGACTATTCAGAAATGCATCCAGCCAAGAACTCTCTTACTCAGACTTCACTGCAAACAGGGATAGATGGCCAAAGTTTTGGCCAAAATGATGGCTAAAGAGATACAAACAGAAATCTGATGAAAGTCTTTGGGATACCATTTTCTTTTCTAATGAGACGGTCAAAATTCAACTGAAGCCACTCCATCTACATTACTCCAGCACTGATTATGAGCACAATGGTTTATCTGTGACCATAAATTAAAGGCCAAGAAAATCAGAGAAATGTGTACCTTGCACTTGTCGACCCAGCAAGCATCTATCTCAAGATTTCTTATACATCCAAAAAAGAACACCCTGTTTGTTTAAGTCACTGCAGTCAAGTTTTCTTTTACTTGCAGCAGAAAGGATTTCTAAGTGATATAAAAGACGAATCGAGAATCCAGTTGAGATGTACTAATTAAATAGCATCACAGCATAATGGAGCTAAAGAGATGCTAAGAAATCACATTGGCCAGTCTGCGTGTTTTACATCGAGGACCCTGAAATCCAGGCCGTCAGGTGACACACAGGCAGCCTCTCCTCTGCATCTTCTAGCACCAGGTAGCAGGTCATAGGCTTTACCCACCGATTCACAGACATCCACTGAATGTCAACTGTATGCAGAGTACAATGCAGATTCCACAATAACCTCTTAAATTTTGTAGATGTCTTTTCTCTTTCTAAAGGACTTTCATATGTACCATCTCAAGTAAATCTCACAACAGTTCTGTTGAAACAATCAGGGCAAGTATTAGCTCACTCACTTTACAGAATGGACAGTTGAAGCACAAACAGAAAGAGTAGCATACCTAAGATACCAAAGAAATTCAATGATAGTCTGAACCAACAAGAGGTTCTTCTGCTTTTAATTTTATATAAATCACTTACTTAAAGCAAATTATTATCTAAAACCATAAATTATTTTCCTAGCAATTCTAAACTGTTGGTATGACACTGAAGAACAGTCATCTAAAAAATTATTTAATTAAACAAATGCCATCCATTCCTAGTAAGAAACCATTTCAGACAGGCTAATGTTCCCTTGTCTTTTTCTAGGATTTTCTATCTATTTGATGTCTAACACTGGGAGTCTGTCCATATTAAGACTAGGGTGACCCACTATATGTGGGAGGCATACAAGTAAATTTTCCCTTTCTTGCTACAAGCAGGATCTCTAAATCCTCCACTGAAACTGTTCAACAAATTTGAGATCATGACTGGAGAATTTATATTCACTAATAAAATTATTATACAGGTAGGAAACACTCTCTTTAAATGTATAAAGGGAAATTATTTATATAACATACTCACTTTAAAATTTTTCTCACCCATAAATAATCTCCCTCTCTTGCAGTAAATCAAGTTGTGCTTAAATACCTACCTATGTCTTATATACCTTCTTCATCCTTCAAAAAACCCTCATGGAAAAATTTGAGACTTTACCTCTAAGAGGCATAAATACTTGTGTTTTATTATATTCACTTATAGTTACAAAAGCAATGACTGTAATTTGAAAGCATCTTCTTCCCTTCCTTGAACGTAAAATGAGTGACATAACAATCTGCACATTTCTCTCATTTAAGTATTATTTTAGAGACTGGGAAGGTTTGGCACATAAAAAAAAAATCTCGGTAAGGAGTAGAAAGCAGACACATTAATGTATTTTCTTTCCTTTCATTACTCAAGGGAAGTCTTGGTCAACTTATTACAGAATATCAAAGAAAACAGAACAGGCAAGAAGGACAAACAAATTAATACTAATTAAGATTTATCTAGTTTTACATTTTAAAATAGAAAGCTCCCACTATATAGTCAAGGCCCTCCCTGCTGTAGGCCAGCTACTACAGCAATGCTTGCCTAAGGCGAGTACACACACTCAAAACCCGCTGCCAAAACTGCAGACTTCTGATCTAGCTCTTCCCTCAGGTCACCTAGTAGTGCATGTTCCCGTCTGTCACACACTAGTAAAATCATTCATAGATTTCAACCCCAGGGCAGTGATTCAACAGCTGAAGACCATTTAAGTGGAGGCAAATTGTCATCTTTTTGCTGTGGTCCCAGAGATGTTTTATCTCCTGGCTGTAATGAAGATTTTTGAACTAGTTAAGTGTGGCAGGAACTCTCATCTTGATTTTGTGCTGATAAATCAAAGAAGGATGATCCATGAATCTAAATTAATAACCATTAAAAATGGGAGGTAGCGCCTCCTCAAACCCTCCTGGATATCATCACAGATTTACAAGGAATCAGACCTGTTCATATAACGTTTGGATTTCATTTATTCACCTTCATCAAACAAACATGTATTTATCTCCTAAAATGCCTGAGACACTTTATTGTGTCCAGTCTTACAGTGATAAAAGTGACAATCCTAGCTTAAAGAGGAGACCAATTCCATATGGCATTGTGACTTTAGAAACGGATCTCCTCACTTGAGAATGTAAGTGCTAAGATACTTTTCAACATGTTATTTTCACCAAGAAATTCCCTGATTTCTCTACTTTTTCTCCCAACACTTCAAGGTGTTTTCAGCATTTTGTAGGAAGACCAGTGGACT